AATTGAGTTTTTTGTTGTTGTTGTTGTTTGTTTTATAAGTAAATCCAAACCATTGTAATATACAAACATACCTGCACTCTAGCTGTAGCTGAAGAATCTTGGACCTGATGAGTTTTCATCCTCTTGTTCTCAGTAGAAAATTTCCCATTTATCTTCGGGAGGAAGGAGACGTCCACATTCACGCTGTGAGACGTCGAGCTTTTCTGCTCCAACCATGAATTTATGATCTCAGAGTTGGTCTCCACGCCCGTCTCCTTGTGCGGGATGACAAACACTTCATCTGGGATGAGGTAGAGCCCATCCTCAGTGGTCTGGCACTCCAAGTAGCTGATGTTCATGACTCGACCCATGTCCATGTTCCGGAGGTTGTCCCAGCCTCCGCCTGGCAGCACCTCCAGAGCTGTGACTGAGAGGTTGGTGGAGGCGCGACATTGTCTGAGCCAGTTGGTCGGGCGTCTTAGAGGGACGGAAGAGCAGACATGAAGGAGAGAGAGAGCCACGAAGGCCACGAGGGCCACTGCTGGCTTCATGACGGCTGTTTCAGAAATGAGGGCTGGGGATGGTGGAATTTAACTTCTTGCCACTTTCCTCCTCCTCCTCCTTTATGAACATTATCATGTGACAAACAGGAACATCTTGTTCTGCTTTCATTTGCATGTCTGCAGTTCTGTTTTTTTGTCAGATTATACTGTAGGGGCTGCTTATTACCGGAAAAATTAAGCTTTGATTACTTTAAGAAAGTGAGCAGTCTATCAGTTATCACTAGTCGTGACAAAATTGGACTTCATATCCATATAAAAGGTGATGTCAGTAAACCTATACTATATTGCCAAAAGTATTCGCTCACCTACCTTGACTCGCATATGAACTGAAGTGACATCCCATTCTTAATCCATGGGGTTTAATATGACGTCGGTCCACCCTTTGCAGCTGTAACAGCTTCAACTTTTCTGGGAAGGCTGTCCACAAGGTCTAGGAGTGTGTTTATGGGAATTTTTGACCATTCTTCCAGAAGTGTATTTGTGAGGTCACACACTGATGCTAGACGAGAAGGCCTGGCTCTCAGTCACCGCTCTAATTTGTTCCAAAGGTGTTCTATCAGGTTGAGGTCAGGACTCTGTGCAGGACAGTCAAGTTCTTCCACACCATGTCTTCATGGACCTCGCTTAGTGCACTGGTACACAGTCATGCTGGACGAGGAAGGGGCCATCTCCAAATTGTTCCCACGAAGTTGGGAGCGTGGAATTGTCCAAAATCTCTTGGTATGCTGAAGCATTCACATTTCCTTTCACTGGGACTAAGGGGCCAAGCCCAGCTCCTGAAAAACAACTCACACCATAATCCCCCCTCCACCAAACTTTACACTTTGTACAATGCAGTCAGACAAGAACTGTTCTCCTGGCAACCGCCAAACCCAGACTCGTCCATCAGATTTCCAGATGGAGAAGCGCGATTCATCACTCCAGAGAACGTGTCTCCACCGCTCTAGAGTCCAGTGGCGGCGTGCTTTCCACCACTGCATCTGATGCTTTGCATTGCACTTGGTGATT